TAAAGATATATAGCCTTAACATGAATAGTAGCTTACCAATAAAATGTATCTAGTTATTATAACAAAATGTCCAATGTAAGCACGTCAGAAAAGATGACATGGTGTTTAAAAAAGTTAAAGCATCAGGAATAAATGACCGAGATGGTAAACTAGCCTCAACCTAGAAATGACCATATGTAGTTAAAGAGATCATCTATGATGCAACTTATAAACTATGGGATATAAATGGTAACATCATCCTAAGAACTTGGAATACAAATAACTTAAAGGTTTATTATCAATAGCTCAAACTAAATTTATCTCACACTTATACTTTGTACTTGAATATATAAATCAAATTATGCTCAGTCGATGACACTTATGCTCGCACTGAGCTCATACCCCAATCGATCTAACAAAATTCGACTTAAAACTTATATGAATTCCTAAGTTAATTTGATTCGAGATATTTTTAAGCGACTAGGTAAATCCTTAACGCACTTAACCCGGCTCAAACTTATGTGAATTCACGTTGTCATGATTAGTCAAGCTCAAACTTGCATGAATAAAGAAAAATAATAGTGAAGCTGAAATGTAGCTTAAACTGCATTAAACAAAAATTTATATATAATTTTTTATTGGTACAAAACTTGTTAACCAATGATTCATTAATAGATCATTCCTATCTAAGGTCATTATAAAAACTGACCTCATACATCAGTAATTTTAAAATAACAAATTTTACAAAAGTTAAAAAGAAAAACAATTATGCATCAGCAACATCAGCAGCAGTAATAAAAATATCACCCTTATCAATAGGAGTAGCAGCAATGACCTCAGCCTCTCTAACCTCCCCCCTTGTGCTCGACCTCTAAAACTACTTCTAGCTTTGCATCAATTGCCTCATCATCATCATCATCTTCATTTTTCTCTTCTTTTTTTTTTCCTTGGCCCAATTTGGAGAAGACCTCGATTTGATATTGTTGATGTTAATATTAGAAAAGTTGAGGTTGAAGTTTGAAAATTTAAACTATACCTTATCATTGGCCAGTTGAAAAGCATCGAGCACTTTTTTTGTTTGCAAAACTCCACCTTTAGTTGGAGGTATTCGTTGAAAGCCTTGAACTCTTCAATAATTTTTTTTTTTAGATATTCTTTGTCCCTCTCATTGGCTTCTGATTCAGACATTAGTCTTTTTATCTCAATTTGAACATCATTAAGCATGAGCTTGGTCTGTTCCCTCATAGAATCAGCCAAGGCTTTCTTAACTAAGATGACTTCTAACTTTATTATCAGGTCAACATTTTTTTTTTCTATTTGTTCTCCTTCTTATGGGACTTACTGAGGTTGGATCTAATGTTTCCTAAAGCAACTGAGCTTTTTTTTATGTTCTTCAACTAGGATAGCTACATCTTTTTGGACCTTAAAGAGGTAGGCTATAGCAAGGTAGGCATGATAGAGGGCCTGGCTGGTGTTGTCCAGAGGTTGAGCTTTTATTGAATTGCATGGGAAAAACTTAGACTTTAAATAAAATGAAATATAACAAAAAAGTTAAGTTGAAGTAAGATAAAACTTACCAAGGAAAGGCACTGCGACTTTACAGAACCTCATCACCATATTGAGGTTCTCAGTGGGGTCATTGGTGGAAGTATAATCCAACCTTATGGAAATATTTTCCTAGTTGGGCCTTAGCATTTTCACTTTAAGATTTTTCAAGGTGGAAGTGAAGACCTTAACCTTTAGTTTTTTTAGTAAGAGGGGGTGCTTGTGTTGAAGAAAGATCCCAGTCAGTTGTAGAATTCATCTTATGAACTGTTAAGGATCATTTAGCTGAGGGGTTAATGATTTTGTCCCTTTTATAAGATAGGGCCCCAAGTTGAATCTTTCTTTGGCCCTAGAGGCTTGCTAATATAGAGCAAAGTCAAAGTCTTTGTTGGTAAACATCTCTGCAAGACTAAGTTAAAAGTTAGATAAAAACTAAGTCAAAATAAAATCCTACAAGGTTACCTTATATCTACCCCAATACTTTGTTTCATTTATTACTTTTAGGGAGGTCAGCTCGTAAGCATCAATAATGAGCTCCTCTTATACGTATATTTCAGTATTTTATCTTGATCTGATAGATCCAAGATAAAGTGGGCCACTAGTGCATCCATAAAGACACTTGACTCATTTATTATCTCTCACACCTTAATCTCTATAATGGTTTTGACCTTTGACTCACCATCTTTGTTTATTTTTTATTTTTCAAGGTAAAAAAAGAGCAGCTTCCAATTTTTTATTGAGCTCATACAATTGGCAAAATAAATTTTTATTGGATCAAGGTATTATATAATACCACAAATTATCGTTAAGGTGTTTCTTGAGAGAAAAAATTCTTGAATAAAGGAAGAGTGAAAAGAATATTCAGATGTTGATAAAGAATAATGAAACCTACTATGTACCATATAAAATTGGAGTGAGTTGAGTGATAGTTAAATTATAAGAATGAAAAATTGAAACAAACAAAGAATAAAGTGGGAACCTCAGACTGGCCACTAATGAATCCTAATATAAATATAGTTGATGTGGCTGTAGTTTAACAGTGACCTTATTTGAGAAGTTTGGCATTAAATATTATACCTTTTTTTTGGGAAAAAGAAAGGTTGTCTTTAGAGTGTGAAAATGATAAGCTAAACAATGTTAAGGTAGACTTTAGGAGTAGCTCTCCCTTTAATTCCTTTATCATGTCCTTAGGGATCATACCAAGGTCACAAAGAATATATATAGAAACCTTGATTGATCATCTTACTTTGTAAGATCTTTCTCCTTGCCGTTACTTTCCTCAATTGAGGTACTCTTTTCTCATTGTTCATCAATGAAACCCTTTTCATCATCAAAATCTTCACCATCAGAAGACCTGACTCCTGAGTAAGAGTAAGATTTCGATATTGAACTGTGGCTAAGAGTAACATGACTTTAGGGAAAGAAAGACAAGGTAAAGACCCTTTAGGAGAAGAAATAATCTTAATAAGAATTGATTGAGGTAGAATAGAAGTGACCATAGGAGCAACAATTGGTGGGAGAGTAAAAGTAAAAGAAAATTGATGAGATTGAACCCTAAAAGGGAGAACAATGGAAATTGAAAGAAAGTTGGTCATAGAAGATAGACCGACCTAAAAGAAAGGGAAAGGATATGGATTCTATAAGTCAAAATCTATTTGAGCACACAATTACTTTGTGCTCAAGATCCATTTTCTTATTGCTCAAACATTATCTTCGTTTCATTGCTACCTTTCTTTAGACATTGAGTTGAACCAAAAGGCCATCTTCTAGCAATTATGACTTTTGATGACTAGTAGAATTAGATCGTTGTTGTTTTGCCTGAGCTAACCCCTTAGGTTTTACCTTAAAACTCTCAGCCTCCCCAAAACTTAAACTAGAAGACATAGTTGAAAATACGTATCGAATAAAGCAAAGAAAAGAATAACTTTAAGGTTGCAAAGCTTTAAAATAAAGAAACTTAGATTGAGCTTAGAGCAAAGAAAGTATAAAAGTGAAAAATGAAAGCCTCAACTATCCTTTATATAGCCACATCACAAATAAGATGAATGGCACAAGCCATGCCATGTGTTAGAGTGAATATGGGAAGCTATCTTTTCATCTTTCTTCTTTAAAATTTTTTGCTCAAATTGCATCTTTCTTCATTTAATGCCATCAAACCGATCAAACAGGATGAGCACTAAGTTAGATCGACCAGATTAGACATCTCTTTGGGATAGACCAAAGGCCTAGTTTGTCATTAGAGTTCAAAGTAAATACTCGAATCCAAACTCTTGTAATAAAATATATGTCCCATATCGACCAAATGAATTCCCACACTAATCTCGGATCATCCTAAATAATTAACACATTTGCAACCTTCAAGCTGACTATGCACTTAATCCAAGACATACGTGCAAGATCGGACCCCCATAAGGTCGAACCACAGTTCAAGGCTAATTGTCAACCAATGCTGACCCCTTCTATGATGTTAACTTCAAAAAACTAAATTTTACTTCATTCCTTTTTTATATATCTGCCTTACATGGAGTGTGTCAATCGTACACCCAGTAGCTTGATACTCAAATTGCTTGATTGAGGGATAAAATGTTGAGGGGCATTTAGTGGTCAAAAAGGTATAATGGTTTTTTCTATGTTTGAATTTTTAGCAAACAACTAAGGGTAATTTTGACATTTGTGCTATCTTGACATGTAAATTCGATCTCAGATCGGTCTGATATATTTAGTATCATATCAGCTTGACACTATCCTTATTGTCCCCTAATGGTCCCTCATCGCTTATCTATAAATATGAAGGTCCAAGCACTATTAAGACAAGTTCATCATACTCTTAATTCTCCTTATTACTCTTTTTCCAACCTCATCTATTATAATTTATGCATCGAATTGCAAATGCAAAGAACACTGCTTACCTTTGTCTTTAATCGTCATTTTCTTCTATCTTTTTAAGAGTACTCTGAGATTCGAGCTCAACACAAAAAAAGTGAATAGATTATTATATTTATGTTCTCAAGATGAGTCAAATGTTGATTTATTTTGTCATTATTTCAATACAGTGAAACCTTGTTTCAAAGGCTTTAGATTCAAATCTTATCATTTGTGTAAGTGAATTTAGTTCAACTATATCTTAAATTTGTTTAGTTATATAATTATTTGTAGTTTGTAAATTGATTTATTTATTTAGTTTATTTCATTGAACTTTTATATGAATTAATACTTAATTGTTTTCAACAGAAAAAAAAAAAAAGAAACAAGAGACTGAGTCTTGCAAGCTCTCCTCTTGTATCGTATATCGTGGTTTGAGCCAGATTGTACGTATTTGAGTCAAAAGATGAGTCAATGGATGCAGTGACTAAATAATCCATAAAAGGAAAGTATTTAAATAATGAACTTCCAGCATTAGAATAGTACACTGGTACTGATTGAGTTAGAGTTTGTAATTCTCTCTGTGATCTGCCTCATCCTCACCCTTTAACGTTATGGGAAAAACTGGGTTCCTCCTCCCTCTTATGATAGTGGTGCTATTGTCTACCTTTGGGGCTACTTTATCAGCGGATTCACCCAACATCACCACTGACCGATTGGCCCTTCTTGCTCTAAAATCTCATGTCACTCACGACCCTCGAAACCTGTTGGGATCCAACTGGTCTACTTCTGCCTCTGTTTGCAATTGGATTGGGGTCACTTGTGGATCCAGACACCAAAGAGTCACTGCTCTAAATATTCCTGGAATGGGTCTCACAGGCACCATCCAATCTCACTTGGGAAATCTGTCTTTCCTTGCTTGGCTTGACATTCGCCACAATGGTTTCCATGGCTCGTTACCCATTGAATTAGCTAATTTGCGTCGGCTGAAATATTTGGACTTTGCTAACAATAGCTTCAGTGGGGAAATCCCGTCATGGTTTGGTTCCTTCACTCAACTTCAGAGGTTGTATTTGGATGATAACAACTTCACTGGTGTTATTCCATCTACTCTGGGCAATTTGTCAAAACTAGAGACGTTGTTCTTGCATAACAATAATTTGAAAGGGTCGATTCCTGCAGCAGTTGGAAATCTTTCAAACTTGAAATGGTTAATTTTGGATAATAATTACCTTTCAGGTTGCAATTGCATTCCTTTCTCAATTTACAGTATGTCTTTATTCGTTGCAGAATGTTGATTTTAGAACTAATAATGTTATTACAGGTCATCTCCCGTCGGGTGTATTTGATCACCTTTCTAAATTACAAGCATTAAGTTTGACATGGAACCAGATTTCTGGTAGAATTCCTAATAGTTTATTCAAATGCAAAGAATTGGTGTATTTATCCTTGCATAACAATTCTTTGGAGGGAAGTTTGCCCATAGAGATTGGAAATTTGACTATGCTCAACCAATTGTATCTCTACGGGAACAACCTGGAAGGTACAGTGAACATACCTCTGTTTTTATCTTTTTGAGGTATCAACCGGATCAGCTTATGGATATCTCTAAAACACTAATAAGAAATTTATCTTAAAAACTTTAAAAACTTAAAAACTATTGTCTAATTAAGCTTTATCTTTCATATGTCTTATACATTTTATCATTTTATCTGAAATTTTCAGCCTTTATATATTTGAAAGTAAGTAGTACTTTCTCAGTTTTATATTTACTTTTTTTTAAGACTTACATCCCTCACTCTTTTACGTTTCATATGTACTAATTTTTAATAAATTTTTTTAATTAAAAACGTCTATGATTTTACTAATAATGATAAATTCTCAGGTTCCATTCCTTTATCACTCTTCAACATTTCTTCATTGCAAGTAATTTCACTCGAACTCAACAAGCTCTCTGGTCATCTCTCATCGGATATGTTTGATTTTCTTCCTCGTTTATTGTTACTTAGTATGAGTGAGAATCAATTTTCCGGAAAAATTCCAACAAGTTTGTTCAAATGCAAAGAGTTAGAATTCATATACCTGTATAATAATCAATTGGAGGGGACCGTGCCTTCAGAAGTCGCCAATTTGACTTCACTTAAGGTATTGGTTATCGGCTGGAACAATTTGACCGGTAAGCATTTTTTTTTAATTGAAATTGTCAAAAATTAAATTTTAATTATTAGAGTCCAACACTTTTGATCGGTAATGACTGCCCTTGCTTAATTTGGTGTACTTAAAATGAAAATGACATAACTTGATCATTATAATTGAAAATTATATCTATTCATAACTTCAGCTTTCTTTTTTTTATTCCAATTTAGATTTTGATTTAATAATTTTATAACAAAAACTTTAAAACTTTCACTTATAAACCACTGTCTATTTAAGCTTTATCTTTCGAGCTATATACCACTGATTGCGTAGAGTTGTCCTCGAGGAGTAAATCTTGAAAACACAAGAAAGAGAGATTGGTCAACGACAAAGGCTGGAAGTTGTTTTGATATTTGTGCTCTAACGTTCAAGTCAGTACCTGATCAATGAGTGAGAACGAGGATAAGGTGAAAATGTGAGCTTGAAAGCTAAGAATTCTAGATGATTTAGAAGTACCTAGATAAGGCTACCCATAATTGTGTGATGGGAGACCTCGGGTCCTTGGGCCTAGGGGACCCGAGGTCAATGTAGGGAAATTAGAACTAACCTCATAAGCCCGAGTTGAGCTAGTGGTTGACTATACTCTAGGGAGATGACAAGTTAGGATCTACTTATGCAAGTAGGTGAGTTTCTAAGGTGGCCAAGCTGACATGGAGCCTGATATTTCAGGTCAGTTTGACATGTTAGCTCGATTGAAATAATCAAAATGTTCTTACCTGTCAGTTAACTTATACTTTGGGGGAAAAGTCCATTTTGCAATTCGGACACTAAAATGCCACTAACATTTTTTTCCCTCTACTAAGTAGTTTGAGGTATCAAACAAGCGAAGATAGGGTTGGTCGATCTGTTGTCGTATGAATCAAGCTATGAGTTGAGCGTGGGCTTTTTTCAGAGCTTTCATGGCATCATTTTGAGGAGGTGTTTTCATGACTATCTTGACCTTAATTCACCGAATTGGTCATGGGGCTACGCTAACATGGATGAGGTGGTAACAACAATGTAGGCCAACTTCTTTATTTTTTGATAATTGAGCTTTTCCTTGGTTAATACTTTGCTGACAAAGTAAACTTGTGCCTACTTTCCTTTTTTTTTCTTAGACTAAAACTGAGCTGATAGCCTGATTCATAATTGTAATATAAAGGTACAAAACCTTGTCGGGCTTTGGCTTTGATAATATAGGGGAAGAGGAAAGAACTCCTTGAGCCTTTCAAAGACTCTTTGACACTAAAGTGTCTATATGAAATCGAAGATATTTTTTAATATTTTTAAAAATTGTCATAATGTTTAGATCTGGGGATCTATCGCTTGACATTAACTTAAGAAGTCGCCACCAATTTTTTTTGTTTAGGTGCGATTGGCCACCTAAGGAATCTATCCCTTCAAGGAACACCTAAGCTTAAGGGTTCTTAAAAGAATAGGTTTGGGTCTACTGACCAAAACAGGGTTCGGGAGTTCAGTTACGTGTGAAGAAGATTATAGCACCCTTACAATGCCCATTAAAAGATGGTACCGGCTTAATTTCATATTATCCAAAAAGTCTTAAAAATTTTACTAAGTAATTAATTATTAAAAATTATTTTTGATTGACTCTAATACTTTTGGCAAAAAATTAAGAAAAATCCCCTCACCTAAAAAGTATACAACAAAACTATTGTTTCACTTGTAGAGACTCCGTCGTCGGATTATTTAACATTAAAAAAATTAAAAAAATAAAATAAAATAAAATAAAATAAAACAAAAAAGAGAAGAATAATTATTCACCTTCTGATATAAATCTTTTTCTTTTCATTTTATAAAAAACCCATTGCTTTTACACAAGGAAAATTGATACTTTCAACTTTTCTTTAAAGCATTTAGAAGTTTTTATTTTAAGAAAAATTGATATTTTCAACTTTTTCTTAAAATATATATATTTTTGAAATTTTAATTTTAAAAAAAATTGATACTTTCAACTTTTTTCTAAAATGTATTTTTAGAAAATTTTATGTTAGAAATTTTATTTTTAAGAAAAATTGATACTTTCAACTTTTCCTCAAAATATATTTTTTCTGAAATTTTAATTTCAAGAAAAATTAACACTTTCAACTTTTTCTCAAAATATATTTGTTTTGAAATTTTAATTTCAAGAAAAATTGATACTTTCAACTTTCCTCAAAATGTTTTTTTTTTTAATTTTAATTTTAAAGAAAATTGATACTTTCAACTTTTTCTTAAAAATATTTTTTTAAAAAAAGAATTATTTTCAAGAAAAATTGATACTTTCAACTTTTTTCAAAAATATTTTTTAGAAATTCTATTTTCAAGGAAAATTGATACTTTTAACTTTCCCAAAAAATTTTTTTTTTTAAAATTTTATTTTAGAAAAATCATTGAAAAGAAAGAAAAATAAAAAAATAAAAAATAAAAAATAAAAATAAAAATAAAAGAATATCAAATAATTCTAATTTAGAAATAATAATAAATAAATAAATAAATGGAAAAAGGGGTATAGCTTTGTGGCTGGAATCGGCTCAGCTCGAGGCACAAAAGAGGGCTAGAACGGAGCGGCTTAGGGTATGGCTCGGCTCGGCTCCGCTTTGCGGCTCAACAGGGAATGGGTGATTCGGGTCAGACATGGGTTGCGCTACGGGTAGGGTCAGCCCAAACAGAAACGCGCGGATCCTCTGGGTTTACTAATGCGAAAACGACGTCGTTTTAGTAAGGTATTTAAGGCTAAAAACTCAGCCTTTCAGTAGATGTGCCTTCCTCATTCTCTCTCTCCGCTTTCTTTTTTCTTTCTTCTTTCTACCTGTGAAGAACACTGGTGGAATGCTCACTGATTTTTGGGTTTCTCCGCCAAAAATTGGGTTTTTCGCTGAAAAACTTGAATTTCGCCAAAAAATTCAATGAAATATGAAAATTTTCCAAAAATTTCCAAAAAGAAGAATGCAAAAAATTCTAAAAAAGTTCCCACAAATTCCTTAAAATTGTTTCTAATGCACCAAAACCCTTTTTACCACTGTTTGCTCTCTATGTTGTTTCTATGTCCTCTTTCTCATATGTTTCAATACCTATTTATAGGGATTAATTAGAAGAGTTTCTGATCAATCTCAATTCCTTATGGGATTTGGATTCATTTTTTGAATTTAATCCAAACTCTTTCAGCCCCCTGATTCATAGCAGAACCTCCTTCTAGAATCGAAAATTATATATATAAAATAATAATTAAAATAAAATTTAGAATAGATAAACCAAAAAAAAAAGATAAATATAAAAAAATACATTAATAGATAAATAATAAAAAATATATTAATGGATAAGTAATAAATATATATATTAATAGATAAAAAAAAAAATAGGCCATATTGCCCCATTTGGACCAGGCTCAATTGATCCGAGCCTGGACCAAATTGAGTGTCTACAGCTATCCCTCTTTGCACATTTTCTGTGAAATAAGAATTGTGCAAAGACGTAAACACCCATTTAAGACTCAACTCGACACTTTTTTTCTTTTTTTTACTTTTTTTGTTAAAATTTTGATCAAAGCTCATCTAAGTAAAGGCTCAATGACTTTGAGTAAAATAAACAAAGCTCTTCTAATCAGAGCCTCAATGACTTTGAAAAATAAAAACAAAGCTCCTCTAAGCAGAGGCAACAAGACTTTTGAAAAAATAAACAAAGCTCCCTTAATCAGAGATTCAATAACTTTTGAAGAAATAAATGCTCCTCTAAATAGAGGCTTCACAACTTTTAAAGAAATAAACAAAGCTCCTCTAAGCAGAGGCTCAACAACTTTTAAAGAAATAAATGCTCTTCTAAACAGAGGCTCCACAACTTTTAAAGAAATAAATGCTCCTATAAGTAGAAGCAACCACGACTTTGAACAATAAATTGCTCATCTAAACAAAGGCAACCATGACTTTTTGAAAGTAAATTGCTCATCTAAGAAGAGGCAACCATGACTTTGAATAATAAATTGCTCCTCTAAATAGAGGTAACCATGACTTTTTGAAAGTAAATTGCTCCTCTAAGAAGAGGCAACCACAACTTTAAACAATAAACTGCTCATCTAAATAGAGGCAACCATGACTTTTGAAAGTAAATTGCTCATTGACAATCATGTATAGAGGAGTCAAAGATCATGTTTAAAGGAATTTTAGGAGATTATGCCCAAAGGTCTTACAAATCGATCATGATACCAAGAGATATCCTTTCCCAAAGATTAGAATCTTACCTCACAAGCTTCTTCTCAAACAAGAATTTAAACTTTTACATAAAAAAATCTTCACATCTGTCTTTTCCATATGGGATCTTAGAATACCTCCACTTTTTTAATTTATGCACTATGCTTTCTTAAATGCTATATATGCTATGCGAAATGCAATGTGTGCGAAATTCAATGCATGCTATACAAATACTGGCTAATTAATTCCTATTCAGTTGTGGTACTTAAGTTTCTCAAGCTCTTTTCTTGGGCCTCGAACCCTTTATTCTTCAAAGACAAAATCAGCATAGCTTTCAATCATTTTTCATTTAATTATCACATTCTTTTTGCTAGAAATCCTTTTCCAAATTCAATGTCCTTATCAGGAACTGAACATCTCAAATTTGCCCTTACCATTCTCGACCTTTTCAATGTAATGTAAAAATCTTTCATGTTATTATTCATTTATCAATCATTATTTAATCTCAAAAAGTAAGAATGCGTTCACACATTTCTTCCATTGTGGGGTATTAAGGAGAAAAGAATAAAAATGGTTAGGGAATAATCAATAGAAGAGACACAATGAATGAAATAGAATATCTTTTATTAGCAAAAATGCTGACAGACTTTGGCCAAGAAAGAATTACAAAAATCAATATGGGGAGATAATGCCCAAAAATGAATAATCGGATAATCATGATAACACATCTTGAGATCCTTTTTGAAAAACTCAACCATCTGATGCACTTAACAGTTTAGAGCTCATCAAAATATGCTAGCCTTTATGTTAATTAACTTTTAGATTTTATGCTATATCTTTCTTACCTAAGCTGCCTTTTTAGGTTTTCAGCTTAGATAAACCCCCTATCTTGGGGTTTTTATCTTGAGTCTTCATTTTTATTTTTTTCTTATTTTTTTAATTTTTCATATTTTTTTTCAAGTATAGTACTTCTTTATAACATCAGAATTTATAGGATGAGACAAATCATTTTCATCTATTTCAACCAGTATCAGTGTTTCACCCGAGAAAGCCCATTTCACCACATATGGCCCTTCTCAATTTGGAGTCCATTTTTCTCTATTATTGTGCTGATTTGGAAGAATTCTTTTCAAGATCAACTTTTCTTCTCGAAAGCATTGAGGTCAAACTTTTTTGTCATGAGTCCTCATCATCCTTCTTTGATATAGCTGACCATGGCACAATGCCGTCAATCTCTTTTTCTCAATGAAATTTAACTATTCATAGTGCTCTCGAATCCATTCAGCCTCTTCCAGCTCAACTTATTTTAGAAGCCTCCAGGATGAGATCTTTACTTCTACTGGTAATACAGCTTCCATCCTATAAACAAAAAAAAAATTGAGTGGCTCCAGTAGAGGCACGCACTGTCGTTCGATATGCATGCAGTGCAAATGATAACTTCTCATGCCAATCTTTATAGGTTTCACTCATCTTCTCAAGAATTCTTTTTATATTTTTTTAGCTGCCTCAATTGCTCCATTTATTTTTGGATGGTATGGCACCGAGTTATGATACTTGATCTTATACTGGGCATATATTTCTTGTATCATCTTACTATTTAGATTCTTAGCATTATCTGAAATGATTCTTTTTGAAAGTCCATATCTGCAAATGATCTTTTTTTTTTATGAACTTGTAAACCACAGATCATGTTACATTTGTAAATAATGCTGCCTTTACCCATTTCGTGAAGTAATCTATCATCACAAAAATGAACCTATGCCCATTAAAAGTCTTTGGGGTAATAGGACCAATGACATTTATGCCTCACATCGAGAATGGCCAAGGTGGTGCCAAAACA